AAAGGCTATTCTCATTCTGCAAAGGTTGCTCTTATTCTACTGATAATCGCCATCCAAACAAGTCTGGGAAAACTGTGTGGGTAAGGGTCCCAGCCTTGCTAGCCCCTTCAGGTGCAAGGACCTTGCCAGCTTACATCTCACCCCCAACAAACACCGACTTTGTTCTCTGGATAAAATGGGGCCTCAGGAGCCAGGCCGCCCCAAGCCTGTAGGCCTGTGCCTAGTCCAGGAGTGGCCGGGGTCCCAGAACAGGACACAGGGTGCAGGTCGGGCTGAGGGGTCTGGCCCCACCCCTCACCCTCAACCCCGAGTGCACAAATTTTTGTGCACCGGGCTACTAGTTGTTTAATAACATGCTATTTAGCCTCCATCTGTTTGAATGTTTTTGGGTGTTTTTACTGTAGGTGATTTCTGATTTCATTTCACTGTGATCTGAGAAGATGCTTGATATGACTTCAGTCTTCTTGAACTTGTAGAGACTTGTTTCGTGCTCCAGCTTGTGGTCTATCTTTGGTAATGATCCATGTGCACTTGAGAAGAATGTATATCCTCCAGCTTTGGGGTGAAATATTCTATAAATGTCATTTAAATACATCTAATCCAGTGTGTCCTTTAGAGTCACTGTTTCATTGATAATTTTTTTTTTTTTGTCTGGAAGATCTATCCAGTGAAGTCAGTGGGGTGTTAAAGTCCTCTACTATGACTGTATTGTTGTTAGAAGTTTTTTATATATTTAGATGATCCTATATTGGGTGCATATATGTTTATCAGGTTTATGTTCTCTTGTTGGATCAATCCCTTTAGTATTATGTAGTGACCTTTGTTGTCTCTTGTGATACCCTTCATTTTGAAGTCTATTTTGTCTGCTCTGAGTATTGCTACTTTAGCTTTTTTTTCTTTTTCATGTTCCTGGAAAACTTTTTTCCAGTCCTCACTCTCATCCTGTGTGTGTCTTTTGTTCTGAGGTGGGTCTCTTGTAGACAGTATATAGTTGAATCATGTTTTTGTATCCATTCAGCTACCCTATACCTTTTGATTGGAGCATTTAATCCATTTACATTTAGGGTTATTATTAACACATTGTTTGCGGGTGGTTTTCACCGCGCGCTAACAGGTGGCGCGGGCCATTTTTGGTAATTTTTTTGTGCAAATGGCAACGTTCAGTAAAATTACGATAACTTTACGTATTTATACATTACCCGCATTCTACCGCTAGTCTATAAAAAACGTATTAATACGTGTCCCGCGCTCTACTACACTGATAGAATGTATAAATACATAAAACGTATAAATACGTTTCCCGCATACAATGTGTTAATAGGTACTTATTTATTGCCATTTTAATTCTGTATGACTAGGTTTCTCTCTCTGTTTCTTCTTCTCACTACAGCAGTCCCTTTAGCATTTTTTGTAATGCTGGCTTGTTGATGATGTACTCTGTTAACCTTTTTTCAAATTTTTTTTGTCTGGGGTGCTCTTTATTTGACTGTCTATTTTGAATGATAGCCTTGCTAGATATAATAATCTTGGTTTCAGATCCCTGCTTTCCATTACCTTGAGTACTTCATGCCATTCCCTTCTGGCCTGTAGAGTTTCTGATGAGAAATCAGGTGTCAGTCTTATGGGAACTCCTTTGTAGGTAACATTTTGCTTTTCTCTTGCTGCCTTTAAGATTCTCTCTTTGTTTTTAATTTTTGGCATTTTAATTATGAAGTGTCTGGTCATGGGCTTGTTTGGGTTCTTCTTGCTTGGGGTTCTCTGTGCCCCCTGAACTTGTGTGACTTTTTCCTTTACCAGGTTAGGGAAGTTTTCTTCCATTATTTCTTCAAACATGTTCTATATCTCTTTCTTTCTGCCTCTTCTGGCACACCTGCTATTTGAATATTGCTATGTTTCATGTTGTCCCATTGCTCCCTTAAGCTGTTCTCCTGTTTTTAAATTCTTTTTTTTCTTTTTGGTTCTCTGATAGATTTTTTCAACCCTGTCTTCTAATTCAGTGATTCAATCCTCAGCTTCCCCTAATCTGCTGTGTATTCCTTCCAATGTCTTCTTTATTTGTGCTGTGTCATTCTTTATTTCTGTTTTCATGGTTACTATATCTTATCTCATACTACCGAGCATCTTTATCATCATTACTCTGAACTCTATATCAGATAAATTTTTTATATCCATTTCATTTATCTCTTCTTCTAGAGCAGTGGTTCTCAACCTGTGGGTTGTGACCCCTTTGGCGGTGGAACGACCCTTTCACAGGGGTCGCCTAAGACAGTGGTCGGCAAACTGTGGCTCGCGAGCCACATGCGGCTCTTTGGCCCTTGAGTGTGGCTCATCCACAAAATACCGACTTCTGCGCATGGGCCACGAAGTTTCAATCTCACTGTACATGTGCGCCCGCACATGGTATTTTGTGGAAGAGCCACACTCAAAGGGCCAAAGAGCCGCATGTGGCTCGCGAGCCACAGTTTGCCGACCACTGCCCTAAGACCATCCTGCATATCAGGTATTTACATTACGATTCATAATAGAAGCAACATTACAGTTATGAAGTAGCAATGAAAATAATTTTATGGTTGGGTCACAACATGAAGAGCTGTATTTAAAGGGCCAGAAGGTTGAGAACCACTGTTCTAGAGAATTATCTTGTTCTTTCATTTAAGGGTTGTTTCTTTGTCTCCTCATTTTGGCTGCCTGTGGCTATGTATTAGGTAGATCTGCTTCTCCTCTCAATCTCTAGTGTAGGACAGTGTCAAACGCCATTTCTTACTAATTAGATCAGGCAAAGATTCAAAGCCTCTCGAGCAGTGGTTCTCAACCTTCCTAATGCCGTGACCCTTTAATACAGTTCCTCATGTTGTGGTGACCCCCAACCATAAAATTATTTTCGTTGCTACTTCATAACTGTAATTTTGCTACTGTTATGAATCCTAATGTAAATATCTGATATGCAGAATGTATTTTCATTGTTACAAATTGAACATAATTAAAGCATAGTGATTAATCACAAAAACAATATGTAATTATATATGTGTTTTCTGATGGTCTTAGGCGACCCCTGTGAAAGAGTCGTTCGACCCCCAAAGGGGTCACGACCCACAGGTTGAGAACCGCTGCTCTAGAGATTGCCTCTGTCTACAGATTGATAGGATTTTGTCTTGAATTGCGCTCAGGCAATTGTCTACAGGTGTGGTGAGAGTTTTGTTCAACAGGGTGGGGCAATTGCTTCTACCTGGAGGATAGTTGTTATTCTCAGTCTCTTCTCTGCTCTGTGGGGCAAGGTGTTTTCCAATAGGGTGGGTCAACTCTCTTCCCCCAGGCAAAGCCATCTGTATAGCAAATGTCTTCCTGAGAAAGATGACCTCCATAGCATGAGGGAATGACTCAGCATAGAAAACCGCGGTGTCTGCCTTCTGAGCTCTTTGCCCAGAGCCCCTGATCCTGGCTTCTAGCACAGCTCCAGTCCAGTCCGCCCTCCCTCTACCAGAGCACAAGGTGGGTGGCTACACAGGGAATTTTGTGTGTTGGCTCTTTAAGGGAATGCCTGAATTTCTAGCTCTCTTCCTGGCCGACAGCAGCCCGCTGCTTTTCACAGCCAGATGTTAGGTGGGTACCCTCTTAGTTCTGGTGCTCTCTGCTGGGGGCCCAGCTTGGGGATTAGACCCCAGAGTTCTCAGTGGCTCCCCCCACAGCTGAGATATCTCTCCGGGACTTCATCTGCTGTCTGTGGGAGCCCGTCCAGCCCTTTTACCAGTCTCTGCCCCCCCTCCAGTCTCTATGCCGTCTCCACTTTTCATCCTCAGGTATCAGGGTTCTCTCCTGTCTCTTCTGTTGCTTATTCAGGAAGCTTTTTGGATTTTAGTTGTAATTCCAGTTTAGTCTTGAGAGTGTGTCTGTGCAGCATCTACTTACTCCACCTCCACTTTAATCTCAAGTCCTTTTCATTTAAGGGCACTTTAAGGATTAACTCTGCTTTTCATTGTTGTCACTACTCTTTGTGTTTTTTGAATTTCATTTGTGGAATTTTCACACTTTAAGTTTAAAGTTATGAAGTGGTCGAAGTATAGTGCACCTTCCCCACACCAAGTGTTTTGTTTTGAGTCCTTATAATTGAATAGTCACCTGTGTTTTGTTTTGGGTCCTTATAATTATTTTAGCACTTGAATCTTTAATCCCATAGAATTTATTCATCAATCAGGCATCTGATTGATGAAACTGAGGAGTTTTGTCCAGGGCTTATCTGCATGTTTTCTTGGAAAGTGTGTCCCCTGGAGATGAGCAGGGTGGGGGCATGGGGACTGCCAGCGACCACCGGAGGAGAGAAGCATGGGGCATGGGGACGAGGGGGAGCCACACAGTCAACAGCCTGGACCTGGAGCAGGCGACCAGGGAGTGCTAATTGGTGCGAGCAGAGGTTTGTGGGGTCATGGTGCTCCCAGAGCTGGGAGTTTGAGCCCAAACACTACACACTGACAACATGTCCTGCGTACCAGCAACCACGGCCGGAGGTGGGCGTCATGTTACCACTGAGCAGCCACGTGGTCTGAGGTACAGTGATGGCGAAACCACGGCGCCTGGTCTTAAATGTCCCCGTGTGTGAGGCCCAGGGGTGTGAACTGCCTCAGAGACAGCCTGTGGGGCAGCCTATGGAGCGATTGTCACAGGAGAGCCTGCTCTTGGTGCAGCCTGGATGTGCTGGAGTTGGGGGGATGACAGATTGATGAGGGGCCCATAGAGAAGTCTGGATGTACAGGGATTTGAGTCTTGTCCCCACATCAGGAGGAGGGCGGTGGGCTGCAGGGCTGTGCCACCTGCAGGTGGGCAGCCAGGGAAGCAGCGGTTTTTCTCTGTGGAGCGTGTCGTCAGGGAGTGTGTGGAAGGTCCCTGCAGCAGGAGAGAGGGCTGCGGGAAGTGTGGTTTGGCCTTCCTCGCCTTTGTCAGAACATGCACGAAAGACAGTGTGTGCGTCTCCTGTGCTCATGCACCTTCCCCGTGTCCTTTCATAGTTGCAGTACGGTGACAGCAAGGACAACCCCCTTAATTACTGGCTTTATAAAGAGGAGGGCGAAAGAAGACACAGGAGGCACAAAGAGGCTGACCGAGGAAAGAAGCATCGTGATAAAAGCAGCACCAGGGAAAAGAGAGAGAAGTACTCAAAAGAAAAAAGCAACTCGCTCTCCAAAAATGAAGGGGAGAGAAGACACAAAGAGAAAGCACATAAAGAAGGCTTGCACTTTGATGACGAGAGGCACCGAGGTAGCATGGACAGAAAAGAGAGGTCATCGAAAGAGGAGCATAGGAAAAGAGAGCTCAAGGTGCGTGTCCTGGTGCTGCTTGCCCTGGGCACCCTGTAGCAGGAGCACAGCTGACTATAGCCCGGGCGGGACTGTGCTGAGTCACCACCGTGTAAGACATGGTTCATGTCTGTGTTGCATGGTCAGTACATAGAGATTCCTGACCTAGGAGGTAGGAAGCATTTTTGACGCATTCAGAAATCTGTCATAAAATTTTGAAATTTAACAGAGGAAGCTGATATTTTTTATTTGTTTATTTATTCCTCACCCGAGGTTATTTTTTCCATTGATTATTAGAAGGAGTGCAAGGAACAGGGGGAGGGGGAGAGGGAAAAGAGAGAAACATCGATGCGAGAAAGACAACGTTGATTGGTTTCCTCCCTGGGGCCAGGGATCGACCCTGCAATCAGATATATTCCCTTGACCGGGAATTCAACCAGAGATTGACCCTTTGGTGCGTGGGCCGACACTCTAACTACTGAACAACATCGGCCAGGGCCCCCTGTCAGCCTGCCTATCCTTGGCCATTTCTACAATCTAATGCATTTTATTTTAAACCATTTGTTAATGTAAGAGAAGATCATTAAAATTCTTTTTCTACAGGTGCATAGATCTGTGAAATAGCCACATTCCATATATTTGAAAGTTTAATTTTAAGCAGTGTAAGGAACTAGTCTTACTTTTCTAAAAAGAATATGAAATTGATAAGTATAACTTTCAATTACTTACTAAGCTACTACATAATCACCTTTTAATATAGCTACTTTTGTTCATCCCTCTTAATTACCTAACTGACTAAAAATACGTATGGCATAGCTGCTGCTGCTAAATTTTGAGTCCATACTTGTTTTACAGTTTATTAATTACAGTCCATTCATTTTGATGTGCTAATTAATGGTTATGAAATTTTTTTCTTTTACAGAATGTTGAACACAGAAACCAGGGTGGCAGTTCAAAGAGAGATGGGACAGGTGGCCAGTAAGGAATACGTGTTCTTTGGCTAATTATTATGCACTAGAGGCCCGGTGCATGAAATTCATGCAAGGCCGGGGGGGGGGGGTCCCCTCAGCCCAGCCTGCATCCTCTCCAATCCGGGACCCCTCGGGGGATCCCTGGGATTGGGCCTAAACCGGCAGTCAGATATCCCTCTCACAATCCGGAACCTCTGGCTCCTGACTGCTCACCTGCCTGCCTGCCTGATCGCCCATAACTACCCCCGCCCCCTGCCTGCCCGGTTGCCCCCAACTGCCCCCCTCTGTCGGCCTGGTCACCCCTAACTGCGCTCCCCGCCATTCTGGTTGCCCCTTATTGCTCCCCATGCCGGCCTGGTCGCCCCCAACTGTTGCCGCCAACTGCCCCCCCCACCACCGCCGCCGGTCTGGTTGTCCCCAACTGCCCCGCTCTGCCGGCCTGGTCTCCTCTAACTGCCCCCCCCTCCCCCCCCCGCTAGCCTGGTTGCCCCCAACTGCCTTCCCTGCCGGCCTGGTTGCCCCACGCAGCCTACTGTTCAGTCCAGCCGTGGGCAAACTACCGCCCGCGGGCTGGATCCGGCCCGTTCAGCTGTTCTGTCCGGCCCGCGGAGCCGAAAGAGCGGAGGGTTCTCTTGCTCTCCCCTCCGCTCCTTCACCAGCAGCGGTGTTATCATGTATTAGTTCACACAGTGGATGTATTAGATCCATGCTTTTGTTCCAGCCCTCCCGTCCAGTTTAAGAACCCATTGTGGCCCTCGAGTCAAAAAGTTTGCCCACCCCTGGTTCAGTCGTTTGGTCGTCCCTCACTAACCCCCCTGCTGGCCTGGTTGCCCCACGCAGCCTGCTGTTCGGTTGTTACTATTACTATGACAGTATCCCAGACAATTTGTATATTCCTCTATTATTAGTATAGATAACACGATGAATGCTGAATTTTTCTTATTGGGCCTAATTATAGCCAGGAAATGGCAATAAGTGATAGACATACTTTACTTACTCAGTCCTCCAAATCATGCCTGAAGTACACTAGGGACCTGGAGACTTGCTACAAATTATAGCTCTTATTCTGCCTTTTTGTATTTGCTCATCAAAGCTAGAGAATCAGAACTCACTTTGGGGGAGTAACTCATTTGGAAGATGGCCCTTCCATGGGGGGCCGTCCAGCCTGGAGGGAAGAATGTCTGCAGGAGGGCTCTTGGTCCTCATCCGATAAACATGTGAGAGGCCCCCCATCCCCAGCCCCAGGTCTTTGGTTGCAGTAATTAGAGCAAGGCTGTTGGCACCAGTCGGCAGGAGTGGCCGGTCTGCCTCTCTCTGGGATGTTGGGGGCCCTTCAGAGCCTTTTCTTCACAAAAATGATACCTATTTTGTGTGGGTTTTGTGAAGATTACAGATTAGAGTTTATGTATAACCTCATTTTGTATATAAGCTGTAGATTTTAGTTTGTTCTTTATGGCAGCCATATTTGACAATTCGTTTTCACAGATTAGGAAAATTCAGGCTAAATGCCTTGCCCAAATTTTTACAAGTTTGAGCAAAGCTAGCACTTAAACCCAGGTGTGCAAATTCTTGGCCTTTGTGCTGCCAGTCTGCTGGAACACACAGGGAAGCTGTGCTCAGCTGTGGGCCTCCTCGACCATATGCTACAGCAAATTGGGGTGAATGTAAGTTCCGAAAATTGAGAATTAATTTGAAAATTTGAAAGCCTTAATTTTAGGTCCCAACTAACATATAGCATATGATTAACAAATAGAATATTGTAAGGTAAATCTTTCTTTTGGAAATCCAACTATTATATTAAGCATAAAATAACATTTGGGATTGACTAATAAAATTATAGGAATTTTCTAGAACTTGTATAAGGTTGGAGATTCATACACAAGTTTGTTAAAACCCAGTTTCTTCTCTCCACTGAAGATATTTTGTGTTTTAGATTACTCCTGAAATAGTAAAAGTGCTAGGAACACTTTGGTGTTTGCAGTTCTGATAAAGCGCACTTTGAAAACTTGCCATTTACAGGAGTACTTCATCTTGTCAAATATTGAGAAGAGCCTTTGCTGGCATCTAAAACGATCTATTTTTTTTTAATTAATTTTGGTTTTGATCATATTTTCTTTCTAGGCATGCAGAGGATGTAGTGAGGAGCAGTGGGAAAGATAAAGACTCGAGAAGGAAGGTAAGAATGTCAGGCCGACCTCTCTGTGCAGTAAGGCTAGCCGGGCTTTGCCTGCTGGGTCACTGGAATGTGGCTCCTGGAGGCACATAAGAAACACTCCAGATTAAAAACCTGAAAGAGATTGGAAGCAAGAAGATGGACAAGAAGCCATCAAACAGGAGCTGTCACAGAGCTGGAGTGGCTGTGCTGGTGTCACAGAAGGGACTGGACACAGAGTATCGGGAGGTGGAGGGACGTCTCATAAGGATGAAATAATTAGCTCAGCAGGAAGGTTAACAATTATCTGTGAGCACATACTTCACAAAAGAGCCCTAAAATACAGGAAGCAAAAGTGACAGAATTAAAGGGAGAAATAGAAAATTGTGTGTCATTGAGACTGCAGCACCCACTCTCACTAGTGGATGCAGCAACAGCATTCCAATCTAGCCTGACAGCCAGGTGAAAGGGACACATTCCTGGAAGGTGTAAGTTATTGAAACTGCCTCAAGAAGAAATAGAAAGTCTGAGCAGACCTATGGTGAGTAAGAAATTGCATTAATGTTGAAAGTCTTGCCCTGACCGGTTTGACTCAGTGGATAGAGTGTCGGCCTGCGGACTGAAGGTTCCCGGGTTCGATTCCAGTCAAGGGCATGTACCTTGTGGGGGGTGTGCAGGAGGCAGCTGGTCGATGTTTCCCTCTCATCGATGTTTCTAACTCTCTGTCCCTCTCCCTCCCTCTCTGTGAAAAATCAATAAAATATATATTTTTTAAAAACGGAAGTCTTCCCAAAGAGAAGCCCAGGTCAGGTGACCTCATGGCCCGTTTCTCCTGGGAGTGAAGTTCTTCCTCTTGTCACTGTGGTATCAGCACGGTGAGAATCAGAGACCACGCCCTTCCCAGTCCTCCATGTTGGTGCCGTCAGAAGAGTAGACACGGAACAGTTTTCATCATGATTATTGTAGCTGCAGTGGTACACCAGTTACAATGCTGTGAAACCATTTTTCCTAGGCTTTTTGTTATCTATATACTAGAGGTCCAGTGCACGAAATTTGGGCACGGGTAGGGTCCCTAGGCCTGTCCGATGATCAGCTTCCCTGCTTCCCTGCCTCCCCACCTCCCTGCCTCCTCTTTCCCTTGCAGTGGCAGCGTGCAGGTTGCGAGGGAAGGAGGCCCTGGCCGGCAGCCGGAAGGCCCTGATGGGCCCTGATCGCCGGCCAGGCCTAGGGACCCTACCCATGCATGAATTTTGTACACTGGGCCTCTAGTTATAGATAATATGGCAGATTTTGGCCTCTGTTATTTCATACATGTACACAGAAACACACAATTTACATGAACTAGTTTGTGCAGCGTGTGGGCCCTTTGGGGGTGGTGGGTCACTCACTCTCCAGCTATGACCACACCTGAGGAAAAGTTAGCCTGACCCACACTAATTCCCATAGGATCTTTTTTTTCATGAAATCCTTTTCAATCATGTTGATGTGTATTTGGGACCTTAGCACCTTTTTCTGTTTCACCTGCCCTCTCACCCCCCATGTAGCCGGCTGTTCCTCCCAGTCATGTGGAAAAGCTCCATTTCTAGTGGCACAGCCCCCCATACTCTCTGTGGATAAAGTTCTTGAAGTAGAGTTGTTGGATGAAAACATATAGATTTAATATTTTCCTTATGTCTCCCAAGTTTTTGGTAAGCTCTAGATTAGTGTGGGTCACTGGAATTATAATATGAGCCACATTTGTAATTTAAAATTTTCTAGTAGTCCCAGTAAAAAAATAAAAAGAAAACAGAATTAGTTTTAATAATATATGATCCACTATTTATTTTTTTAAATATATTTTTATTGACTTCAGAGAGGAAGGGAGAGGGAGAGAGAGATAGAAACATCAATGATGAGAGAGAATCATTGATTGGCTGCCTCCCGTACGCCCCCTACTGGGGATCAAGCTGCAACTTGGGCATGTGCCCTTGACTGGAATCGAACCCAGGACCCTTCAGTCCCCACAGCCGAACTGACAAGAGCGATCCACTATTTCTTTCTTTTTTTAAAAAAAAAAATATATTTTATTGATTTTTTACAGAGAGGAAGGGAGAGAGATAGAGAGTTAGAAACATCGATGAAAGAGAAACATCGATCAGCTGCCTCCTGCACATCTCCTACTGGGGATATGCCCGCAACCCCGGTACATGCCCTTGACCGGAATCGAACCTGGGACCTTTCAGTCCGCAGGCCGATGCTCTATCCACTGAGCCAAACCGGTTTCAGTGCGATCCACTATTTCTTAAACATTATCCTTTTGACATGTAATCAATATAAGAAATGATCAGAGAGACATTTACGTTCTTTTTACCGGAGGAGCGACCTAAAGCCTGCAGGAGTGACATTGGAGACCTGGGCAGCTCCTTGGGCTGGGGGTCTTCTGTCTGTGGCACTGCCCTGGCCTCCTGGGGAACGCCTGTGTCTGCAGAGAGCCTACAGCCTGCAGAGAGCTGCATGAAAGCTCTCTGTTTCCTTCCTGGTGATATTGTGCGGCCCCAGTGTTATGCACTGAGTAGTTTGGGGCTATGGTGCTTGGAGTCCTGTCTTCCTTGTACCAGTGACCACAGCAGAGCTGGCCATCAGCTGTTCCCATGCTGGGCAGTCTCATTGTACCCGCCCCTAACACTGGCACTAGGCAGTAGGCACCATCATCTCCTCACTTCCGAGAGAAAAGACCGAGGCACAGTACCACTGAGGGCAGCCCCTCCAGGGAGGTGGGGAGCAGGTGGGCCTGGGGGTGCCCAAGAGACCATCCTTTGGCTGCTGACCTGGCTGTGCTCTGTCCCCCAGCACAGCCACGATGAGGGCCCCGCCGTGTGGAAGCTGGCTCCGAGGCCAGGAGGTGAGGGCACTGTGGTAAGGGGTGCTCTTGTGATGCAGACATACCGCACTCGTGTTCCCTCGCTCCCAGCATCATTTCATTAGGGGCGTGAGTGTTCCTCTGGATAGCAGAAGGCGAGAATGAAGGGGGAAGAGGTCTGAGCATGACCTTTGTGTTCGCTTGTCTGAGAACCCTTCGGTGGGTCGCAGGCAGCCTTGGTCTCGGGGCTTGCGGGGAGATGGGCTTGCTGAGTGCAGGGCCTTCCTCCGCAGGCCCGGGAGAGGCTTTGCACAGCGCTTTGCAGGGAACAGGTTCAGGATGCGTGAGTGGCCAGTCTCCTCATCCTTGCTCTGCATTTAAGTTCAAAAGTTTGTGGAGAATTGAAGCAACTGAATTGAGACATCACAAAACATGAGATTCAGGCCATGTCAGGGAGAGAGACTCCAGGTCACAGGTCACTTGGGAAATGGATGCTGCTCCAGGGACCACAGCAGTGGCATGCCCTCTTACCGCAAGGACCGATCACAGAAGTTCTTTCCAAAACTGACGGGGAAACACTGCCGACGTGGCAGACTCCTGTGATGGCCCGTCTTGTCACTGTCCCCAGCTGGTTCTAGCTGTGCAAAGAAGTGAGATGTCACCTGTCCTCCCTGGCAGAGGGCCTGGCACGTGGTGGGCACTGCGTGTTTGCTGGGCGCAGACTGTCGGACGTGGTGCCGGCACGCGGGTCGCACAGCTTGCACGCGGTGGGTCAGCAGGGCAGCGCTGGGCCTGGTGTTGGCTCCGGTGTGTCTGACCGTCAGCAGGCGTCCTACTTACTTGTGCAGTAAATGTCGTGTGCTATCCCTACAGTGTAGTGAGTGCACATGACCATGTGCCAGGAGGACCTTTTCGTGGGGCAGTTTTTCCTCTAAACTATTTGCTCTAGATAGCTCTCCGCAGCCCCGGGCACTGAGGTATTCCTGCAGCCCTTGCTCATCCTTAAGACCCAGACCAGGTGGCCTTCCGGTGACTGTGCGGCCTCCAGGACACGACTGAGACACCGCCCACCGGCGGGTCCCTCTCTTTATCCCCAAGTTGCAGGTGCTGAAGTTGGTGCTGAAGGGCAGCCTGTCTTCCCTGATGGAAAGGGGTGGGGGGCGTGCCGAGTAAGCGCCACACCGGAGACCTCGTTCTTGTATTTCAGCCACGGGAGCACGCGGCAGTTCACACGGGCTGCCGAGCGTGTGTGCGTGTGTGCGTGTGTGCGTGCGTGTGTGAGTGTGCTCCTGACTGCAAACATAGGGATCTATTCATGGGTAGGACATAGACTAGGGAGAGGCAGTGCTAAAGTTTGGAATTTCTTTGTATAAAACTTTTTTTCTTTAGCCATCAGAATTACAAAAGTTTCTCAAAAAGCATATGTTTATTAACTGCTTTCTCTTTTTGGTCATACTAATTAATTAGTTCGCAAATTCTTAAAGAATTTGGAGGTAGGTTGTTAGTTTTATAAATACATTTTTAAGTTAGTGATTTCAAGTGAATCTCAGACAACATGTGGTTTCCCAACCTATTTGCAAGATTCAAATTTATGGTTGATTTTTTTGTTATGTGTGATTTTTACCTATAGGAAATTGAAAAGGAAGACATTGACTTAGAAAATGTTGACTACATGGCCAATTTTGAAGATGATTTTGAAGTATGTATAAACATTAAAGTTTTTCTTGGCTTAACATAATTTGTCCTTAAAATCAGCTTAAGTATAATAACAGTTTTTTTTTCTCTCTTTACTACTCTTAAGATTCCATATCTGTTTGATTCAGGTCTGTTATCTATAAAAAGTTTGTTATATGTCTACTAATGCTTACCAATATGATGTAATTGAATGACATTATAATTCATTGTTAAGTGCACTGCATCCAAACATATATATATGTATATGCATGTATGCAGGGGTGTATACATGTATGCATATGAATGCATATTTGTATGTGTGTGTATATGTAGAGCATATATAATACACACATCCTCATAGTCTTGGCCTGGGAGTTTGTTTTGTTAGTTCATTTGTTACTTTTTTGTTTTATATTTCACATAGGAGTGAAATCATATGGTTTTTGTCCTTTTTGTCTGGCCTATTTCATTTAGCATGATACATTCAAGAGCCACCCATGTTGTCCCAAATGGCAGTATTCCATCTTTTCTATGTCTGAGTCGCATTCTTTTGTGTACATGCACCACGTCTTCTTTCCCCAATCATCTACCGATGGCCAGGTGGTTCCCGTGTCCTGGCTATTGTGACTAATGCTGCAACGAGCACAGGAGTGCATAGATGTATGAGTGCGTTTTCATATTTCTAAATAAGTAACCAGAGTAGGATTGCTGGGTCATATGGTCTATCAAGTCCTAGTTTTTGAGGAAACTCCACGCTGTTTCTGCAGCACACAGGGTCCCTTTCTCCACATCCTCACCACACCTGTTATTTTTGTCTTTTTGATAGAACCATTCTGACAGGTGTGCGGTGGTATCTCATGGTTTTGATTTGAATTTCTCTGATGACTAGTGACATGGAGCATCTTTTCATATGGCTGTGGCCATCTGTGTGTTTTTCTTGGAAAAACGTCTGTTCAGATCCTCTGCCCATTGTTTAAGCAGATTTTTTGTTGTTGTTGTTGAGTTCTTTACATTTTGGATAGTAATCCTTGTTGGAAGTATCATTTGAAAGTATCTTTGGTGCATATTTATTAGTAAACGCTATGTCTTCTTGATGGATTGTCCCCTTTATCGGTATACATGTCCATCTTTTCATCGTGTTATCTCTTCTGTCTTGAAATCTGTTTGTCTGATACGAATGTGGCTCGGCCCGCCTTTCTCCGGACACTGTTTGCTGGGAGTGTCGCCTCCCCTCACTGGAAGCCAGTTTGCGCCTGCAGGTGTGACGGCCTCTGCAAGGCAGCATATTGGTGGGTCTTGTTTTTTAATCCACGAGTTCAGCCATTCACGCTTGGGGTGAGGCCCGGTACACGAGGACTCCCTGCAGCCCTTTCACCCTTTGTGCCCTGGCCGCTCTGTGACCCCGTTTCTTTTCCCTTTCCTTTCTGTCTGCTGTTTCAGTCAGATGGTTTTCTGTGATGTTTTTCTTCATTTCCTCTTTCTTAATGTTTTGGCCCCAGCTCTGGGTTTTGTTTTGTGGTTACCATGGGTTTGTATAAAATATCTCGTAGTTGAAGATGTGGTGAGCTGGCAGGGGAGCCAGCTGGATTAGAGATGTCTGCCTGACAAATGTAAGGGGAGAGACAGGCAAGGGTCCTCTCTGCCCGCCAGGAGCCGGCGGCGGCTGTCTATTTTAAATGGTAAATTGCACCTTTTGCTTTGTGTTCTTTAAAGTCAGTTTGTCTTAAAGTTTTCGGAAACATGACTATTGTTTGTAGGACTATGAAGATGACTTTGAGGTTTGTGATGATGATAGCACGAATGAGCCAGAACCAAGAGAGAAAATGGAAGAACTTCCTCCAGCCAGAAAAAAGGAGATACAAGAAATTCAAAACGCCATCAATGCAGAAAATGAAAGGATTGGCGAGCTGTCGTCGAAGCTGTTTCAGAAGCAAGGTCGACCGGAGCGGGAGAGGGAGCCAGGGGCCGGTACGTGGTGGGGCTGCTGTCTGTGCCCCCGGGAGCTGGGCCTCGTCCCTGCGACTCCCGTCAGGCGGCACTCAGAGACCAGTGTGCGGGGCGTCTGCAGCGGGAGCTCCGACAGCCTTCTGCTCGGGCCCGGGCCAGGTGGGCCGGAGGGTGGCTGTGCACGGTCGGTGCAGAGGTGCTCACGTGGGTCACATCCTGCTCATCCCGCCCGCCTGTCAGTCTGCCCACCGACCTCGCGTGTCCACCGGAGGCTCAGGCGCACCCGCAGAGCCGGCGCAGTGGGGAAGGTTCAGAATGGGGCCCGTTGAGTGTGTTTCAGGGGGTTTCTTTGTGACGTTAGAGTGTGTTTTGCTCAGAAATTCTTGGCATTGTGTTATAATAATGATACTTATAAGAGCAGGAGTAAATATTTCTAAATCACAGGGAACCGTAGCCTCTTGATAAATTTATACTACAATTAACACAGCGTGTCAGCTAGGACAGTATTAACGTTATTGGATGGTGCACTCCGTAAATTATCTAGTAAAACAAGTCATAAGTAATAGGTACAATTCATTATGACTAATAGTTGATGCGATGCAATAATCCAGTGAAGGTCGAGCAGAATGGTTATTACCCTCACATCTGTGCCTGTTGTAGAGGCAGAAAACCTGAGTATTATGGACTGTTCTCCAAATGCACAGCTAACCTGTGTCTCTGAAGCCGGAGCAGCTGTCCCGGGGCGGTGGTGACGCTCGCCTTGCAGCAGCAGGTGTGGGTTGGGGGCCTGCTGTGGTGTGACTGAGAGCCTGCGAGCTTTTGTTCTGCAGTTCCTGGTTTTCTTAGCAGACCCTTGAATTACCTTTTTTTAAAAATTTTATTCATGTCCTTTATTGTTCCGGGCACTGTGGGCTTTAATAGCTTGATTTACAAGAATTTAGAACCCCCATTAAGACATTATTTTTGTTGTATTTTTTTATTTGAAAGAATTATTCACTATGATTACACTGCTACCCAGACAGGTGGCGCTGCCCTCCAGGACCCATTTAACACTGAGCCAGCCTGGCCCAGCGGAGCGCCGTCCTGCCTGTGGTAGGGGCCGTGGAGTGGCCTCAATGGCACTGGCTCTGTCACTAGCTGTGTGGTCTTGAGTGGGACCTTACCCTCTCTGTGCTTCAGTTTCCTTCCTGCAAAATAAGGGCAAGGCCTTCTTTAGGGCTGTGAGAGTTAATTAAATAAGCTAATGCATGTAAGGTGCTTGTCTTCAGCACAGTGACTGTTAGTGCTAACAGCCACCACCACCTGGGCTGAGAGGGGCCACTCCCTGTGTCCTGCTGCCCAGCCCCAGCTGTGCTGGCGTTACTGCGGAGCGCTGCCGCTGCGCCTGTGCTGACTGTCCTGTTCGCTGCCTTCTCAGGGCAGTAGGAAACCGTTCGGTAAATACCTTTTTCCAGGGCATGAGGTTATGCCGAGGCATTTGAAAGCGTTTCTAACCTCTGAGAGGTGAACTGTGTACTTGGTTGGTGAGGGTGCTGACACCTGGCATTTGTGAGCCGTGTGGCAAGATGCCTTCATTCCCGTCTTAACCCTGTGCCGTGAAACATCGTCCAGTCTCCTCATTGTTCAGGAGGCTCCTGGCATCTACGTGGTACAGCGAGCGGAACGTGCTCGTCCACACGCCTGCGTTCACCCTCGTGCCGTGCTGTCCTGTGTGGATGTCGCACTGTCCTGTGTGGAAGTCGCACAGCACAGGAGAAAGGGGCCGCGAACAACCTGCTCGTGGTCACAGCAGGTGACCGGCAGGACTCCCAACCCAGATCCCGCGCATTCCCGCCCATGGGCCCCGGGGATCCGATAAAACGGCTGGAGGGCATGAGATGCAATTGAAATAAACATTTGAACAAACAAGTGTGGCAGTAAATCTGCACAGGAAACCACAGAAATCCTTGGAGGGCCGAGGGGGAGGAGGGCAGTGGGAGGAGCTCCCACCAAGACCGCCCTTCAGTCTGGGCCCTGCCCTGGACTTGAGCCTGTAGAGCAGCGGTTCTCAACCTGTGGGTTGCGACCCCTTTGGGGGTCGAACAACCCTTTCACAGGGGTCGCCTAAGACCATCGGAAAACACCTATATAATTACATACTGTTTTTGTGATTAATCACTATGCTTTAATTATGTTCAATTTGTAACAATGAAAATACATCCTGCAATCAGATATTTACATTACGATTCAGAACAGTGGCAAAATCACAGTTACGAAGTAGCAACGAAAATGATTTTATGGTTGGGGGGTCACCACAACATGAGGAACTGTATTAAAGGGCTGCGGCATTAGGAAGGTTGAGAACCACTGCTGTAGAGGGTCAACATTAACTTGCCTCCGTCTCTGTTTTTGCTGCTTGTATGTTCATGTCCTAGCTCCCTGATTAGGGCATACATTCTGGAGGGGCCGGGGAGTGGGGAGAAGTGTAGACTGCATGGTAGAGGGGTTCTGAAATATTGCTAACTCTCCCTGGTGTGATTGGCGCATACACACTAAGTTTTGCTTTGTTGACTGAAAGTTTTACATGAAAGTAGCAGAGGCGGTCTCTTAACTGCTCGTGAACAATGTTTATAAGTAATGTTAGTCATGGGCTACAATTATTAAATATGCTTCTAAAAATTTTATACTTGACATTTTTTGCTTGAAATATTTGTTTCAAAAAATTGTTGTTTTTTTTCTGTACAGATGCAAACAGTTCACCTTCCAGAGCCCCTGTGTGTGGAATTTTTGTGGATTTTGCAACCGCCTCACAACGCCAAAAGAGTCGGACTCAGGCCCTGAAGCAAAAGTAGGTGCCCTGGGGAATTGGCGGAGTCTGTGGAGTTGCAGTGTTTTTCTTCAGTACACTTTTAAAATGGAGCTTTGTCTCACTGCTGACTGCGCGTTCTTTGTCTGCGCTGCTTCTTGGCGCCCGTCATGTGAGCACAGGTGCGCTGTGTCCCAATGCGCAGCTTCTAACGTGCGGGATTTGCGCTTACGGGAGGCACCCAGTTTGGCTGAGGCAGAATCCCACTCACGCGCATCACATGAATTATTCTGGGTCAAAAATCATATTAAAGATTGAAAAAGAAAAAAAAAATCAAAGGCTGAAACATGAATAGCTTAATGATAAATAATAATTTAAGAGTTTTTGAGGAAAATGTAGGGACACTTTATCGATGTGTGTCATCGTGCTGTAAGGGAATAAGGCACAGAGGAGGAGAATCCAAACTGCATAGCGCCGATGCCACTCGATGTCAGTTTAGTGCATTAACTAGCAACGCGAAGGCAGAGAGCCACCTGCCCTACAGTATCCCCAGGGCCAGTTCCAAATGGATAAAAGGTAAAGAGGAAAGTGAATAAAAGAGCACAGGCAACATAGTGGTTTTCTCAGTGACAGGAAAGGAGTTTCTGAGAATAAAAGAAGATTAAGCCCGGCCAGTGAGGCTCAGTGGTTGAGCATCGACCTATGAACCAGGAAGTCGCGGTTTGATTCCCAGTCAAGACACATGCCGGGGCTGTTAGGTTCGATCCCCAGTGTGGGGCGTGCAGGAGGCAGCCCATCAATAATTTTCTCTCATCATTGATGTTTCTCCCTATTTTTCCCTCTCCCTTCCTCTATGAGATCAATAAAAATATATATTTTTTAAAAAGCAGATAAAATGTTAAATTTCTGTAAGGTGCAGTACTCCATAAACTTGACCAAATTTAAAGGTGATTGACCAATTGGGAAAATATATTTGCAAAATGATAGGGGTCTACTATCCCTAATGCACAAACTGTTTTAATAAGTGAGTATACAAAGCTAAATATCACTAGAAGTCAGTTCAACTGGAGATCCAGGCAGGAAAACAGGAACCGTCGGAGCACTGACGTGAGGGTGTGACGCAGATGACCACACAGGTGCTGAGACTGAGCCTCTGGGCAGGACTGTGGGCCCCTTTGCAGGACAGGGAGCTGGGCTGGGCAGCCACCCCAGCCAGAGAAGGCAGAGAAACCAGCCCATTCCCATACCTGCTTCCCCGCCTCCACCAGAGGGACCCAGGATGGTGAGGACACAGTAGAAAACGCTAGGCTGTCATTAAATGTATGAAAATAAGTTACATCTTCTTTATTTTTCTATTTATTGTTTATTATAGGCAAGTTCTGTGCTACATTCCTTGCATATGTTATCTCATTCAATATTTTTTAATTCTTTATTGTTAAAAGTATTACATATGCCTCTTTCCCCCCATTGTCCTCTCACAACCTCCCCCAGCCCCCCAGCCACAGCCTTCACTCTCCCCCCATTGTCTGTGTCCATTCGTTATGCTCATATGCACAAAGTTGTTTGGTTGATTTCTTACCCCCTCTAATCCCCCTCTCCCCCACCTCCACCCTCCCCGGCCTTCCCTCTGAGGTTTGACAGTCTGTTTGATGCTTCTCTGTCTCTGGCTCTATTTTTGTTCATCAGTTTATGTTGTTCATTAAATTCCACAAATGAGTGAGATCATATGATATTTATCTTTCTCCGACTGGCTTATTTCACTTAGCATAATGCTCTCCAGTTCCATCCATGCTGTTGCAAATGGTAAGAATTCCTTCTTTTTTACAGCAGCATAGCATTCCATTGTGTAGATGTACCACAGCTTTCTAATCCACTCATCTGCTGATGGGCACTTAGGCTGTTTCCAAATCTTAGCCATTGTGTGCTATGAACAATTGTGCTGCTATGAACATAGGGGTGCATATGTTCTTTCTAATTGGTGTTTCTGATTTCTTGGGATATAGTCTAGAAGTGGGATTACTGGGTCAAATGGCAGATCCATTTTTACTTGTTTGAGGAAACTTCATAATGTTTTCCATAGTGGCTGCACCAGTCTGCATTCCCACCAGCAGTGCACGAGGGTTCCCTTTTTCTCCGCATCCTCTCCAGCACTTGTCATTTGTTGATTTGTTGATGATAGCCATTCTGACAGGTGTGAGATGGTACCTCATTGTTGTTTTGATTTGCATCTCTCGGATGATTAGTGACTTTGAACATTTTTTTCATATGGCTCTTGGCCTTCTGTAGGTCTGCTTTCAAGAAGTATCTATTTAGGTCATTTGCCCATTTTTTGATTGAATTGTTTATCTACCTTTTGTTAAGTCGTATGAGTTCCCTACAAATTTAGGAGATTAAACCCTTATCAGTGATAAGATTGGCAAATATGTTCTCCCATGCAGTGGGCTTTCTTGTTTTGTTGATGGTTTCTTTTGCGGTGCAGAAACTTTTTATTTTGATGTAGTCTCATTTGTTTATTTTCTCCTTAGTTTCCATTGTCCTAGGTCAGGAGATGTGTCAGTAAATAGATTGCCATGAAGTATGTCTGATATTTTGCTGCCTATGGATTTTTCTAAGATTTTTATGGTTTTCCATCTTTCATTTAAGTCTTTTATCCACTTTGAGTTTATTCTTGTGTATGGTGTAAGATGGTGTCTAGTTTCATTTTTTTCCTGTATCTGTCCAATTTTCCCAGCCACATTTATTGAGGAGACTTTCTTGACTCCACTGTATGCTCTTTTTTTTTTCTTTTATAATTTTTTTTTATTTTTACAATTATACCATGATAAAACTTAACAAAACTTACTCACGTGGAATACTTTTCCTTAACATTTGATAAGTTAATCAAATGCATACCACAATAGAGTTTTGTTGTTATTGTTTAAATAGCGATTTCTCATGATTTTAGTATCACTAAATGTAATACTAATGCAAGCTGAGACTACACTCAGAAATAAGTTTAGAAAATGTCATGACAAAAGATTGGGAGTGACTATTAAAATAAAAACAAACACAACAGAACAAACCCACTCAGGGCTGTTGTACAGGTGCAATAAGTCAGATGTCTCACTGCCACGAGTCTTCAGTGCAGCCAAACTTAAAACCGTCCTCCACAAAAGATGAAGGCATTTTGGAAAAAGACAGCAGTTCCAGGGTGTACTACAGCCTTTTCTTTAGCAACATAACCACCAAAGGGAATCCATATAGATGCAATCAGAGAGCCAAAGGCCAACATGAGACCAATGAACAGCCAAATGCGAGCACCTGTTTGACCCAGGCCACCTTCACTGTGACTGTCTCCTCGGACTTGTCCATTCGATACTGCGTTAATCATTAGGAAGGCAATGGTTGCTATAGCGCCACAGGCATGGTATGAATGGTTGAACTCTTCCATCGTGGGGTAAATGACAGCTGCGTCTATGACCATCCACCGGCTTGTAAAAAATAGAACACCAGCAGCAATGGAAGCAATAGTATTGCGTTTTCCCCCCAGTCAATGCATTCTGAGCATCTCAAGCCTTCTAGAAATCCAGACATTTTTTCAGGTCAGTCCAGCCCCATGCATACCTCCACTGTATGCTCTTGCCTCCTTTGTCAAATGTTAATTGAGCATAATGGCTTGGGTCGACTTCTGGGTTCTCTATTCTGTTCCCTTGGTCTATGTGTCTGTTCTTGCACCAATACCAGGGTGCTTTAAGAACAGTGGCTTTGTAATATAACTTGATGTCTGGTATTGTGATCCCTCCAACTTTGGTTTGTTGTTTTTCCCCCAGGATTTCTGCGGCTATTCGGGGTCTTTTTTCACGCCATACAAATTTTTAGAGAGTTTGTTCTAGGTCTGTGAAATGTGCCATTGATTTTAATGGGGATTGCGTTGAAGTTATAGATTGCTTTGGGTAGTATGGACATTTTAGTGATGTTGAGTCTACCAATCCATGAACACGGTATATTCTTCCACTTGTTTATATCTTCTTCTATCTCTTTTTTCCTGTATTTTTCCAAGTACAGGTCTTTTACCTCTATAGTTGTTTATTTCTAGGTATCTTAATTTTTTTGTTGCAGTGGTAAATGGGATTATTTTTTTTAGTTTCTCTTTCTAGAAGTTCATTATTGGTGTATAAAAATGTCATTGATTTCTGAGTGTTAATTTTGTAACCTGCTACATTGCCTAATTCATTTATTAAATCAAGTAGTTTTTTGATGGAGTCTTTAGGATTTTTCTATGTACAATATGTCATTAGCAAATAATGACAGTTTTACTTCTTCTTTTCCAATACAGGTGCCTTTTATTTCTTCTTCTTGTCTGATTGCTATGGCTAGAACATCCAGTACTATGTCGAACAGGAGTGGTGAAAGTGGACATTCCTGTCTTGTTCCTGTTCTTAGGGGAAATGGTTTTAGTTTTTGCCCGTTGAGTATAATGTTTGCTGTAGGCTTGTCATATATGGCTTTTATTATGTTGAGTTATGATCCCTCTATTCCCACTTTGCTGAGAGTATTTTATCACGAAACGGTGTTGCATTTTATCTAATGTTTTTTTCCTGCATCTATTGATATGATCATCTGATTTTTGTCTTTCAGTTTGTTTATGTGATGTATCGCATTTATTGATTTGCGACTATTGTACCATCCTTGCATCCCTGGAATAAATTCCACTTCGTCACTGTGCATGATCTTTTTAATAAATTGTTGGATGACATTTGTTAATGTTTTATTGAGGATTTTAGCATCTTTGTTCATCAGGAATATTGGTCTATAGTTTTCTTTCTTTGTTGCATCTTTATCTGGTTTTGGGAGTAGGTTAATGCTGGCTTCATAAAAAGAGGTTGGAAGTGTTCCTCTTGGATTATTTGGAATACTTTGAGGAGTATAGGTGTTAGTTCTTCTTTGAATGTTTGATAAAACTCCCCTGTGAAGCTGTCCGGACCAGGGCTTTTGTTTGCTGGAAGCTTTTTGATGACTGCTTCAATTTCCTCAGTAGTTATCAGCCTATTCAGATTTTATGA